GCAGGCCGGCGAGGACGCGAGGGCGCGCGTGGTCCCCTGACCGACCCGCGCAGGCGGAGCGCGCCCTGCGTGCCGGGCCGGGGCCCCGCCTCTCGCTTCTAAAAGATCTCGGAACAAAGAACGCGCCTTTGGTGATCGGGTCCCTCGCGGGGTCGGACTGATGAGGAAAGAACGAAGTAGTGGTTAGCCAAGAGCGTGTCCCGGGGGAAAGATCGTAAACACCTGGTTCTTAGCGGAATCCTGGGATTTGGTTTCACGTTCGCGTGACTGAGGTTGTAAAGTTATCGCTAGCGGCTCTGTCAGAGAGACCCTGGAGAGGCCGCGGCGAAGGGGCGGGCGGGGGTCGCCGGAAGCTTCAGGCTCTGCGGCAGCTCCAACGGGGAGCCAGCTGGGTCTGCGTGGGCTCGTTCATTTGCACCCGCGCGTGTGCGGGTGTGAGATCCATTTCATAGAAGAGAGCAGTGAGGTCATTTACACACAGTGTGAGTGTTTGAATAACAGGCTGCCTTACTGCTGGAAGCTAGCAATCGCTCATTTTTGAAGCAATGAAATGCTTTAGTGTTAAGGGATAATTTAAGATTCCCGGGCTCACAACACTCTCACGTTCAGAGGATGGTGATTTTGTAAATTTTGGAGGTAACTCTTCAGTTTTGCACTTCTAGAAGCAGCCATTAGTAGTTTTCCAGTTGGCTCCTGGCACACTAACATTCCGCAAAATGCGTGTTTTTAGTGTCCACAACAAGGAGATGTTGGAAACCCTTCAAATTTAAAATTTTGTTTTGTGCTCTGTACCTACTTTTACTGAAATACTTGTCCAGCTTGCCGTCTTTTGGAGCATCACCTTCGTCTCCTTTTCCGTTTGGGTCCTGTGTGTTTATGCTTCACACGCACCCAGGCCGTAACCTTACTGGAGTTTCGATAGGGGCGGGGGTGAGTGAGCGTAAAGGCATGTGTTTAACTCCTATTTGTTTTTGAGTTTTATAGTGTTGATCTTTTCCCTTATGACTTGGTTTTATGTCTTGTTTAAGAAGTTACTTTCTACATCAAGGTTATAAACACATTAATCTGTATTGTCTTCCATTACATGTATTTAAATACTAGGTCTTTACCTCATGTGATGAAGCTGTGATAATGTCAAGATGAATATATTTTTGTTAAAAGGGAAGAATCATTAAGATCTTTAAGAAGAACAGAAAGCTGGGTAACGAAAAAGTAAGCATAGCAATTATTCGGCTCTGCAGTGGACACTGTTCATGTGGTCACAATAGTGGGACCCGATCATGACCTGAATACAGAGCTCCTGGTCACTGTGTGTAGAGGGGGGAGTGACCCCAGAGAGCAGCTGTCAAGACAGCTGAGCCTTCACTCTGCGTGTGTGTGTGTGTGTGTGTGTGTGTGTGTGTGTGACAGGCTCTCACTAGCCCAGGCTCCCCTGGAACTCACAACCCTCTTGTTTCAGCCTCCTAAGTCCCGGGATTGCAGGCGTGGGCCACCACTCCCAGCTTCCCAGCTAAATCTTCCCTTTTTATAGTAGGAAATCAGCCAGTAACATTTAAAGGAAAGCACATGTGTGCCCTGGATGTGTGGCACTTGCCCCTGGAGGAAATGATTCAGGAGTTAAATGCGAGAGGACATGATGCTCAGAAGAAGATTCTGCTGCTTTCTGAAGTTTAGAGCCTCGAGTGTGAGTATTTGGTTTTTGCATTATGTCCAGAAAGAAAGAACAAGGAAACATTGTCAAAGATGGAGGCAGACAAGGAACGAGACCGCCATTCTTTGGCTAAATAAATAACACGTCGCAAGCCTACTCAGAGCAAGGCTCCAGGCACACGCCAGGCATGCAAGTGTGGTGGGACAATTCAGTGAAGTGTGAGGTTTGGTTGTTTTGTCTGTTTTTCCTCTCCTGTTAGAGCAGGCAAAGGTTTTGGCAGGGCTGTGAGGACAAGCACCCAGATATCAAAGGTTCTTCTGCCTTTTTTTTTTTTGGTACCGGGAATCAAACTCAAGACCTTGTGCTTGCCAGACAGGTGCCTCTGAGCTACATCCCTGGCCCTTCTTCTGCCCTTTGTAAAAGTTGAAGTAAACCTGGGATGAGATTATGCCCTGAAGGTGCGGGGAAGAGGGAGAGAACTCTTCAAGATTGCAAAGGGTGTTGGTGCCCAGCCGGGGCAGTCATTGGGCTGTAATGCCCAGCTGTGATGGAGCGAGTGGGTGGCTTTGACGGTGTGGTGGAGAGGTCAGTCCAAGCCTGGAAGTACTCAAATCTGAATTCCCAAGACTCCAGTTCGTCACAGGTCCAAAGAGACACCCCCACAGAGCCCACAGGGTCAGGGTGCGCCCTGGTGATGTCCAGTGGTGGCATCCCCTGGTTCTCAGTGTCTCCATGGCCTTTACACGGCCTTCGGCAGATGGGGTTCTCTGAGAGTGCCCACTGTTGAAATTTTCACCAGTGCTGCAGTGCAGGGGCTTGGGGTAGCGATTAAGTTCATTTAAAGAACATTCTAAAATTCTGTATTTATGCCGGGTGTGGTGGTGCACTCCTGTAACCCCAGCACTTGGGAGGCTGAGGCAGGGGATCACCACACGTTCGAGGCCAGCGAGGGCTGCACTGTGAGTTGGAGGCCAGCCTTGCAGTACACAGTGAGACCCTGTCTCAACCCCTGCCCACACGCTGTATTTCTCGCAGATCTGAGTTTGCAGGCTGAGAGCACGGCTGGTGCACCGGGATAGGAGGGGAGGCGCCCCCTCCTCACAGGTTCCGAGAGGAGTGAGGGCAGACACTAGTGCTCTGACTGGAGTGGTGGACGCGCGGCTCTGTCAGGCCTCAGGACGGGGCAGCCGCCCGGCTCCTTAGGCCCTCCCGGCTCTGAGCCCACTCTTCCCTTCATTGCCTGGCCCCACCCAGCGGCGTTGCCTCTCCCTGCTCGGGGCAGAGGGGAGTGAAGGAGGCTCTCTGTGCTGAGGGAGAGGAGGGGAGAGGAGCCCCACGAGACTGAGCTGTGTCTGAATCCTGGCCTCCAAGGCTTGCCCCTGGGGACTTGTGCCTCAGCTCCCAGAGGTTATAGGGGTGCGAGTGCCTGGGCTCCCCGCCAGGGGAGGAAGGAGGAAGAAGGGGAGGGGAGGAGGCTTTCCCAAGCGGGGCTACCCGCCCCAGATAGGAAGAGCGAGTGATCCAAGGCCAGTTGGGCCCTGGGAGGCGAGGGCAGTGCCCCGTGAACAGGGCAGGCAAAGTCCGCTCGTGTTTTCTCAGGGGATGAGTGCTCCCGGGCCCCCCGGTGGGAACCGTGCCCCGGCAGGTCTCAGGAGAGCGTGTGTTTGCCTGTGATACCAGTGAGTCTAGGCCGGCGGTCACCCCCGGGGACCCTTGGGGACTGGGAAGTTATCATTTGGCAGGTCCCCCAGGGAGGCAGACTCTGGTTAGACTGGAAAAGACGCAGAGATCCCTGACGGAGTGAAAGAGCCCTGAACAGGGTCAGGGAAGGGGTCTCTGCAGGGTTCCAGAGACCGGAAGGCCCGAAAAGCCATAGTGTGTGTGTGTGTGTGTGTGTGTGTGTGTGTGTGTGTGTACGCGCATGAGTGTCCTTTCTAGGCCCACTGGGAAAGTTTCCTTAGAGACCACGGCCCACCCTACCCACCGACCTCCCTGCCACCTTCCAGAGATCTAGGCCCCCGGGAGGGAAGGACACCGTTGGGGTAGATGGTCTCATAGAATTTGCCACCGGGAGTTCTTCGCTGGGACCCAGTGTGTGCAACCCCTGCAGTGACGCTGGCTTCCCTGTGGACACGAACCAGCACCAGGTATTTGGGTAGAAGTCTGGAACAGCTCTTTATTCGGCTAGATACAGCTCACATTTATACGGAAGAGAGGCTGCAGTGGGGAACAGCATCAGGTCTAGGGCCCTGGGTGACCCACCAGAGGGGACAGTCCCGCTGTCTCCTCTCCCGCGCCCCGGGGGACTCTCTTTCCTCTGCCTCTCTGGGCCTGGCTCTGTGTGGGCAGCTCAGCCATGCAAGGGAGGGAAGGGAGTGCAGGAGGGAGGTGGCAGCAGGAGAGGGGTGTGACAAGGCCAGCATGGGGTGGCTTCTTGGGCCCGACTGCTTCCTGTCTTCTGACCTTCTCGCCCCTTGAGCTGGGCGCCGAGCTCTGGGGAGGCCGGGCTGCGGGCCGTCAGTGGGCTACGGCCCTGGTGGTGCTTTCTCAGTCCTGAAAGCAGAGCCGGTGTGAGGGGCTGACCGAGGTTCCCCTCCACCCCGCCCCGCTCCTTCAGCGTCCTCACTTCTTGCAGCCCTTGGAGCCCTTTCCCTTCCTTCCAGACTTGGGGTTCCCTCTGTCCTTCCTACAGCCCTGGGCTGGCGGGCTGTCCAGACGCTTCATCAGCTGCTGCACCCAGGCCTCCTTGGGGTCTGCACATAGCTCTGGCTGAGAGCGCTTCCTGGGCAGGAACCTGGGGGGGGGTAGTAAGACTTCTTGGCTGTGCCCGCCGTCCCCCTCAGCCACCAGCCTGTTCCCACCCTCTCGTGCCCACTCACAGGACAGCTGGGATGGGGCAGCCTAAGCTGGGCTCTTGCTTCCGGTAGCCGCGGATAACCTTGTGGGGAATCTTCCTCTGGCTGTACTTGAGGCAGCAGTCCTGGGCACCGCCGTCGCTGCCTGCAGGGTGAGGTTGTGGGGAGCCGGGGCTGCTGGTGTGCCCTTACCCAGGTCTCTCCAGCCGGCGCTGAGGCTCCTTCCTCCCCCCTACCTTGTATCTGGGCGATGCAGAGGGCCAGCACCAGGACGAGGAGCCTCAGAGCCAGCGTCTGAGCCATGGGTGTGGCTGAGGCTGGGGTTGGGGTTGGGGCGGTGGCTGAGGCCGGGCTGTGCTGAAATGGACGGTCACAGGTGGGGGTCTGTGTGTGGGCCAGGCCGGCTGAAGCCTATTTATGTAGTCGGACACTTTCACTTCCCTCCCGCCTCCCTTCCTTCCCGAGAGCGGGAGTGGGCCTGTCCTGGCACCCAGCCGCACCAGAACTGGAACATGACACCATCAATCCCCAGCCGCCTGATCTAGCTCCTCAGTACCAGTTGACCACGATTCCTTCCTCTGTCTTCAGCCGCTGCCGTGGTTCAAGCCTTGGTCTTTGTCTGCAGGAGCACTGTGCTCGCTTCCTCACTCTGCTCCAGGCTCTGTGCACCCCTCTCCTTCCAGGAAGTCTGACTTTTTGCTGTTGTTTTGGAGACAGGGTCTCACTATGCAGTTCAAACTGGCCTTGAACTCACTGTTAGCCCAGGCTGGCCTCAGACTTGCAATGATCCTCCTGCCTCAGCCTCCTGAGTGCTCGGATACAGGCATGCACGGCCATGCTGGGAAAGAAATCTGATTATTGAATTGCAAGAGTTCTTTATGTATCCTCATAAAAGACCTTTCTCAGTTATATGATTTATAAGTATTCCCTCCCATTTGTAGTTATCTTTTCAGCCTGTTGGTAGTGTCTTTTGATGCACAAAATTTTAAAATTTTGAGGTCCAATATACTCGTGCCCCCCCCCAGCCCATTAAAGCATTGCCGAATCCAGGGCCACAAAAGTTTCCCCTACTTCTTTTCTTTTTTTTGCCTTTTTAAGACAGGGTCTCACTATGCAGTTCAGGCTGGCCTCAAACTCACAGCGATTCTCCTGTCTCAGCCTCCCAAGTGCTGGGATTACAGGCGTGTGCCACCATGCCTGCCCCCCCCCCATGTTTTATTTTAAGGGTGGTGTAGCTTTAGCTCTTACGTTTGGGCCTTTAATGTGTACTGAGGTAGGGCTCAGCTTCAGTGTGAAGACAGCTGGTTTCCCAGCACCGTGTGTGGAAAGGACGAGCTCCTCCCTTGTTAATGGCTTTGGTGCCGTGGCTGAAAGTAGCTGGCCATCTGTGTGAGGGTTTATCCTGGGCTCTCGGTTCTGTTGCCCTGGCCTCTTCTTCTGTTGTTATGTCAGTGCTAGACTTTTGATCACTAGTTTTAGTAAGCGTTGTTCTTCTTTTTAAAGATTATTTTGGCTACTTGTGGTCCCTTGAATTTTCATTTGAATTTTAGGGTGGGTCTTACTGTTTCTGGAAAAAAAGTTCTATGGGATTTAGATAGACATTGACTGAATTTATGGATCGCTTTGGATAGTATTACCATCCCAATATTAAGTTTTCCAATCCACGAGGAAAGGACATCTTTCCATTTATTTTGATCTTCTTTAATTTCTTCTGGCAATGTTTTGTACTTCTCAGTGTACATATCTGATACCCACTTGGTTAAATTTATTCCTAAGTATTCTTTTTGGTGCTATCAAAATGGAATTGTTTTCTTAATTTCCTTTTAGGATTGTTCATTGCTAGTATATAAGTATCCAGATGATTTTTGTGTGTTGGTTTGTATGCTGAAACTTTCCAGAATTCATTTATTAGTTTTTTTTTGTTTTTTTTTCTTTTTTCTTTTTTTGAGACAGGATCTGGATATATAGTTCAGGTTGGCCTTGAATTCACTATGTAGTCGAGGCTGGCCTTGAACTTGCAGTGATCCTTTTGCCTCAGCCTCCTGAGAGCTGGGATTACAGGTGTGTGCTGTTATATCCAGTTTTGTTGTATTAATTTGTGTGTGTGTGTATGTGTCTTTGTGTGTGCATGTGTGTGATTTGTTTAGTGTTTTCTGCATAGATCATGTCATCTATGAATAGAGACAAATTTTCAGTTTGGATGCCTCTAGTTTCTTTTCTTGCCTAATTTCTCTGGTGAGAAATTCAGTGTTACACTGAACAGAAGTGGTAGAAGTGGACGTCGTTGTCCTGATCCTGATCTTAAGGGGAATCCTTTTAGTCTTCCCCACTCTGAAGTTAGCCATGGGTGTTTCTTCTATGGCCTCTATCATATAGAAGAAGTTCCCTTCTGTTCCTGACTTAAGTCATGAAAGGGTGTCGAGTTTTCTCACATGCTTTTTCTGTATCAAGTGACGTGACCATACATTTTCCCCTTTATTCTGTTAATGCATGAATTAGATTAATATTTGTATACTGAACCATTTTTACATTTTGGGGATAAACCCTGCTTGGTCATGATGGATAATTATTTTGATGTGCTGCTGACTTTGGCTGTCTAATGTCTTCAGTCTCTTTACTTGTTAATGATGTATTCAAATTTTCTGTTCTTTAGTCAGTTTTGATACTTTGTGTGTTTTGGAATTTGTCCATCTCATCTAGGCTATTTAGTTTATCTTGATACAGTTGTTTATAGTGTTCTTTTTAAATTCTTTTTATTTTTGTCAAGTTGATAATGATGTTGCCACTTTCATCTCTGATTTTTGGGTCTTTTCTTAGTTTAATTTGTCAATCTAACTATAGGTTGGTCAATTTTGTTGATATTTTCAATGATTCAACTTTGACCTTATTGATTTTTCTTTCCTTTTTTTATTCTTTATTGTATTTACCTCTGCTTTAATCTGTACTATTTCCTTCTTTCTGCTATCTTTGGGTATAGTTTGCTCTACTTCTAATTCTTTAAAATGTGCAATTAGATTTGAGATCTTTGCTCTTTGATACAGGCACTTAGGATGGTAAATTTCCTTCCATGCTCTTTTCCCTGTACCGTATAACTAGGTACATTACATTTTTGTTCTCATTTGTCTCAAGTTCTTTTCTTTTCTTTTTCTTTTTTCGACACAGGGTCTTACTATGTAGTACAGGTTGGCTTTGAAGTCACTATCTAGCCCAGATTGGCCTTGAGATTGCAGTGATCTTCTTGCTTGAGCTTCCCAAGTGCTAGGATTATAGATATGTGCCACCATGCCTGCCTCAAATTATTTTCTAACTTCCCTTGTGATGTCTTCTTTGACTCTTTGGCTGTTTAAAAACAAGTTGTTTATTTTCCATATATTCATGAATTTTCTAGTTTTGTCTGTACTGAATTTGGGTTTTGTTCTTTTGGGACTGGGAAAGATACTTTGTATGATTTTAGTCTTAAAATTTATTAAGACTTGTCTTGTTGCCTTAACACTTGGCCTCTTTGGAGAATGTTCCACGTGCACTCGAGAAGAACACGTGTTCTGCTATTCTTGGCAAAATCTTCTGTGTTTGTTAGGTACAATTAGTGTGTAGTGTTTATCAAGTTCTCCATTTCCTTATTTATCTTTATCTGATTGTTTTTATTCTTTATTTCTTCTGAAATGGGGTGTCAAAGTCTCCAACTGTTATTGAAGAACTGTCAATTTCTCCTTTCAGTCCTATCAGTTTTTGCTTTATATGCTTTGGGGTTCTTTAACTATGTATTTATTACTGTTCTATCATCTTGCTGCATTATACTTTTCATAAACATCTAATATTCTTTGTCTCATGTAACATTTTTGGAAAATATTTGTGTGTGGGCCGTACTGGAACTCAAACCAAGGCCTTGTACATCCTGGCTGAGTGCTCTAGTACTGAGCTGCATCCCCAGACCTACAAGAAAAATAGAGAGAAAAATAAAGCCCACTCAGCCCTCTTTCAATTACTATTTGCATGGGGTATTTTTGCTATCTTTTTATTTTCAAGTTCTTTGTGTTTTTTAATCTAAAGTATTTTCTAGATCACACACAGATGATCATATATTGCCAGTATCTGCTTTTTAAATAAATAATTTGCTTTACAGTACTTATTTGTAAGGGAATAATTATTTCTGTCACTTAGGTGTTTGTTTTTTGTACATTTTCTTTTTTGTTGTTCTTCGATTCTTCCAGTATGTCTTTTTTGTATTTAGCTCATTGTTTTTGGTAGTATACCATTGTGATTCCCTTTTGCTTTCCTTTTTATGCATTTTATAGTTATTTTCTTTGTGATTACCTTGGTGATTACAATTAATATCTTAAACTTATAACAGCCTAATTTAGAGTTATTTATTTATTTATTTATTTATTTAGACAGGGTCTCACTGCATAGTTCAGGCTAGTCTTGAGTTCACTATATAGCTCAGGCTGGCCTTGAACTTGTAATTTTCCTGCCTCAGCCTCCCTAATGCTGGGATCACAGGTGTGTGCCATCACACCTGACTAATTTAGTTTGAATAATACCAATTTAGTTTGTGTAGTATATAAACACTGTCCCTGTACACCTTAGTCCCTTCTGCATATTGTTGTCACAGATTATATTTTTATGCATTGTGTACTCACTAACGTTTGCATTTGCTTTTTCAGTTATATAGGGGAAAAAAAGAGGAGCTACAAACCAAAAACACAAAAATACTGCTTTTTACATTTACTCTGTATTCCTTTAACTAGAGATCTTTTTTTTTTTTTTTTTTTACAAGATATTGGCATTTAATTGTCTTTTTTTACTTACTGAAACTGGACAGGAGAGGCAGTGGAAACTACTTACTTGGAAACTACTTACTGTACCAACAGTATTAGTACAAACCTTTCTTTTCAGTGAACTAGAGATCTTTATCTCTTTGTATGGCTGAGAATTACCACGTATTATCCTTTTGTTTCAGTGTGAAAAACTTTTCAGCATTTTTTTGTAGGCAAGTCTACTGGTAATAAGTCATCAAAATTTTTTTTGTATATAGCAATGTCTTATTTCTCTTTAATTCTTTTTCTTTTCTCATTTTCTTTCTCTTTAATTCTTGATGGATGGTTTTGCTGGAAATAGGACGTTTGACAATATTTTTGTTTTCCCCTTGAAGGACTTTCAACGCATCGTCCCTTCGGCCTTCATGGTTTCTGAAATCAGCTGTTAATCTCACCAAAAATCCCTTGTAGATAATGAGTTCCTTCTTCCTTGTTTTCATATTTCTTTTTTGTCTTGGGATTTTGATAGTTTGGCTATGTCTGTGAGAAGTTCCGAGATTCTCTGCGTGGAGTTCTGGAGCTTCCTGGGAACGAACATCCATCAGATGTGGGAGACTGTCAGATGTTCTGTCTTCACAAACTTTTCTGCCCTTCCTCCTCCTCTTCTGGTCTTGAGCTGAGGTCCACCTGGTGGCGTCCCCAAGGCTCTGCTGATTTTTCCGCATCTTTTCTCTCTACTTTTCGGGCCTGGCCCTTGCGATTGTCTCATCTCCAGGCCCACCAACCCCTTCTGCCAGCTCAGATCCGCCGCTGGATGCTCCTGGTGAAAATTTCACTTCCGTTAATGATTTTCAGCTCCAAAACTTCCGTTTGGGTTCTTCTAATGATTTCTATCTCTTTACTGATAGTCTCAGTTTTCATACACTATTTCTCAGATTTCCCTCACCCAAGATTTTCCTGTTTCCAGGATTTCCTCTAGTTATTTGCCCAACATTTCTTTTAGCTATTTGAGCACATTTAAGAAAGCTAATTTAAAGCCTTCAGTTATTATGCCTAATGTCTGGGGTTCATGGGGCTGGTTCCTGCAAAAAACTTCCTGTGAATGGGCTATACTGCACCTTCCTGCTTCTTTGTGTGTTTTGTGATTTTTCGTTGACTACTAGATATTCTGAGTATTGTAATGTAGGATCTTTGGAAACTCAATCACCTGCTCTTTAAGAGGTTGCTGATTCTGTCTTTCCTAGAAAGTAGACCAGCTCTTATATTAATTGTTGCTCCAAAAGACTCAAGAGGGCTTACTTTCAAGGGATGTCTTATTTTTTCATGTACAACAATCTACATTTATTCAAATGTAGTCATGTCATCTTTTTCTGTGTTGTTTTTTTTTTTTTTTTTTTTTCCTGGTACCGGGAATCAAACTCATGACCTTGCGCTTGCCAGGCAGGTGCGTGCCGCTGAGCTAAATCCCCAGTCCCCCATGTCATCTTTTTCTGGAGCATTGTTATAACTCTCCAAACTCCAAATTCCAGCCCAAATTTCTCTTCTTTTCTTTCTTTCTTTTTTCAGCCTGAATTTCTTGCAGCTCCATTTTCTGGAGAACCGTTGGCCGCGGCCTCTCCTGTCCAGCGGTAGATCTCCCCTTGTCCACGCAGCCTGCTCATCGGGCACCGGCAACGCAGCTGTCAGCGATTCCACCCCAGGCTGAAGAACTTGCAGGCTGGGCTTCACAGAGTTTCCACTAAATCAAATGTTCATTGGCGACTTTCGAGACCAAAGTAGCAACAAAAATGATGAAAGTTAAGGGTGATGGTCCACACAAAAGCGATGAAAAATTGTGGGCACCAAAATTCAGAAAAGGATTGTTTATGCCACACAAATGCATATGTCTGGTACAACACACAATGCATTGAATTGCGAAGTCTCGTATTAGACACACCTACATCCGTTTGTTATCAAGTGCACACGTCATTTGGGTGCTGTATCTGTGCTCTGATTGGCCATTGGGCAAAAGTCTCAAGTTCATCTGTTTATAGAAGGCACTTACCTCTCACCCAAAGACACCTGCCTGGGTATTTACCAATACTTAATTATAATATATATTATTTAAGTATTAATGTCTATAGTATTATTTATATTTAATTATATGTGAATATTATTACTTTATAATTCAAATTGTCCATTATGTGTTGCAATGGATGTACTAAATGCATCCATCTGGCTGACAGTCTCTGTTTTTGGTAGTGAGAATCAAATTCAGGACCTTGAAATTGCCAGGTAGGCACTGTGCCCCTGAGCTGTAACCTGGCGCTGGCTGACAGTCCTAACTGGGGCTTATTTTGGGGGTAGGGATGATACGACAAGTATCCTGAAAAATCATGCTAGGTCTTATTTTCTGCTTGTCTTATTTCGGGGAAATATGGTATTTACTTGTTGATGACTATACCATCTATTTTTTTTAACTTTTCCAAGCTAATTTTGCAAAGTGTATATTCTTTGCTGGGTGGGGCCACTGGACTTTTTATTCTGTGATCAGCCTACTGGCCTGAGAAGGGTGCCCCCCCGCAAAATTCTGTCCCTTTCAATGTTCTGACACGTGCGGTGGGGGAGCCTGCTGTCCCTCAGAAGGGGCTGAGACTAAGGCGAGCCTATCCTTAGAGAGCTGCCACGCCGACCAGTATGCACAATCCAAGTTCCCACCGGCTGCGCTGCCCTAGGAGGGATTTTACTTTTGGGGGAAGACGGGCAGCTGAGAATTGGAGATGGGGGTCTGTGGGATGGGAACGAAGAGGCGGTGTTTTACCCCGAGGTCCACAGAGGAGAGGGCTGGAGTTTGGGTGACCTAGAGGACGGATAATTGAGCCCTTGGCTCTGAAGCTCTCCAGCTGGTTGAGCTCTTAACCAGGAGGGGCCTGCCTGCGCAGAGAGCCTCCGCCGTGAGCCTCCGCCGTGAGCCTCCGCCGTGAGCCTCCACTGTGAGCCCTGGTGCTCCCGGAGGTGACTGCGCAAAAGCCAGGAGCTAAGAGTTCTGGGTATTTTACCTGGTCTGAGGGCAGATCCTGGCACCAGAAAGTTTTAAACTCGCAGCTTCCCCAGCTCCTTACCTGCCTCTGTGGAAGTGATGCCGAAAGTAGTGATTGTTTATCTCAGAAGTTTTCTGAGAAGTCAGGATAGCCGGGGTCTGGGGGACAGAGAGATGGAAACAGAATCGTATTGAATGAAAATGTTTCAATCTTGAGTACAGTTTGGAATCACCTGGGGAGTTTGGTTTAAACATACAGAATATAGAGAACTCAAAAAGTGGGACCCTCCCAAAAATAAGAGATGAGGAGCCCGGCGTGGTGGCGCTCGCCTGCAGTCATAGCGCTGTAAGAGATGCCCGCGGGAGAGACTTTCTGGCCGGGCACAGTGTGTAGAGGGGGATGTGTAAAGGACGAAGGGGGTTGTGCTGCCTCCCAGACACCCTCTCTCGCCCCAGGCCTTCTGCTGCCCCCTTGCCCGTATTTATGCTATTATGGAGGTGGGGGTCAGGTGGTGTTCTGTCAGAGGGTGCCCGCCACCCCGACAGGCCCCATCCTTGCCTGTCTTTCCTAGATCCAGGACGCATTTCCCAGCGCAGACCTGAGGTCCCTACCTCTACCCTTGAGCCTGCAGAGGGAGAGCAGCCTCAGAGAGGTGCTGTGTCCTGGAGATACGGGGGCCTCCTACTTGCTCTTGGGGACTGGAACCTACTTTAGGTGCCCCAGGAGAAAGAAGGCGAGCCGTGGGCCCTGGGCTGGAGGGGGAAAATCGGCAAAAGTCAGCAAGGAAACCGCTCCTTGAGAGCAGCGGAGACGGCAAGTCCCTTCCTCTCCATTTTCTGTGGATGCACCTGGAGGCAGGAGAGAGACGCTCCGTGGCAGCCTGGAAGGCAGTGAGCCTTGACAGAGGCACCGTGCTGGGCGAGGAGCTGTGACCCTGCTCTGGGACCCGAAGGCTGCAGACCTGTGCTTTTGCCCTAAGCTGCTACCCGGGCCTCATCCCACCTCTCAGACCCGCTTGAACCCTGCTCTGCATGTGGGAGTCTGGAGCTTGCAGCCCGGAGCCCAGGCCTGTTTTGGTCCTCAGGCCAGGCTGCATGTAGACAAGGGGACACAAGGACTTGGATGACTGTGCGTCTGAGATGTGAGGGTTCACCTGAGTTTCAGGCCTGACTGAAGATTTTGGCTGGGTGAGCTCTGAGACTCCTGTTTACAGCCTCTGGGGAGGCCCAGGTGCAGAGAGGAGCTGTACCGGTGGACACATGTCAGCACTACCTTGACGATGGCTGCTGAACCAACACACCTATTCGAGACTGAGATCCTGGAAGTAGCACTGTGTTTACTGACCCTTCCCTTGGCCCAGCACCTGCAGATCCATAACCTGTTTAAGACAGCACCTGGCCTAGTTCTGGGATAGACGACCCAGGTGCGGGTGTTGCAAGAGCCTGGAAATCCCCGTCTTGGAAAAGGGCGCATTCCCCTCAGCCCAAGGCTGCCTGCTCCAGCCTGCTGGAGGGTTTCAGGGCAGCAGATGTGCCTGGCTTGGCAGGCAAGAGCTTGGAGGGGATGGCAGGAGTTTCAGCTAAGGGGCTGGGCTCGTCCTGGAACGGGATTTGGGGTGGGCTGGGTCCCACGGGTCTGTATATCCAATGAAGGTCAAAGGGCCTACGCGTTTGGTGCCCCTGGGTTCCCAGCAGAGCTCTGAGGCCTCCAGGAACACAATGCCTCACAGGCTGCAGTTTTTCTAAAGGAGCCACCAAGTCGCCGAGGGTGCGAGTGACACAACCCTTCCTAAGAGTGTTACAGCATGTATTCCTGTGGCCAGTGTGAAGACATTCGCTACCCAATGTGTAGCTACTTTGGGGTGGGGGTAGGGTTAAACTTAAGCTTAGAACAGCAAGGACACTGTGGTTACAGGTTGGAGTTGGACAGTGGTAAGCACAGGGCTGGGTTTAGGTGATGTTAAAGTTGGATTTCGATTGAGTTTGTGCTTTCTGTTGATAAGAGCTCGTGTGTCTTGGATTAAGACTACGTTGGGCTCGAAATAGGGCACTGCTTGTATTTAGGATGGGATGAAGATTGACGAAGGAGTTAAATTTTGTGTTGGAGGTTAGTTTTGAGCTTCTAAGATAGTCTGGAGAGGGACTTAGGCTTATGCATAAGACCGGATATTGATCTGGTGTAGGTGAGAGGCTCTTCCTTCCACACTTGAAGGTTGTGAGTGTCTCCACAGTTATCCAGTGAGGGCAGGTAAATGCCCAGCTTTCTGGGGGTGGGAACAGGGAGTTTTCTGTGTCCTCTTACTTGGCCATGTGAACATGTTTGGTTAGCAGTAGGCAGCGTTACCTCTGAGGTACAGTTAGTTGTTCTAAGGACCACCCCCCCCAAGCTATGTTTGGAAATGGAGTTGGAGCTGTGTGACAGATAATCTTGCTTTCAGCTTGGTTATATTTAGGGATGGTTAGAGGTGGTGTGATTGGAAAGCTGCTGTCCCATCGATGGGTTAGCCCATGGATGACATCGCAGCTGAATGGGCTGTCGGGGGTTGGGGCCTCCTCGGAGGAAGCAGGTTCCTGGGGGCCTGCGTCTGAAGAGTGCATCTCTTCTAGGGCCTTTCCCTGTCTCTACCTCATGGCCACCATCAGATGAGCAGCTGTTCTCCGTCCTGGTCTTCCGACACGACCTCCTCCTTGGAGCCAGTGACCATGGCTGGAATCTGTAAAACATGAGCCAAAATAAACCTTTTCTCTGTCAAGCTGTCTGTATCAGATATTTTGTCCCAGCAACAGAAAAGTGATGAATACAAGTTGTTTTAGGGGCTTTGTAGGGGCGGAGTTGTGGTTAGAATTACTTAACATTTGGGTTAGAGCTAGACAGATAGTCGTGCCCTGTGCTAGGGGCTGCTCTGTGGGAACCTGGGACCTGGCTCTGGGTGCCCTGGGGGTAGCCTGGACTGGATGCATCTTTCTGGTTTCTTCTTCCCTTACGTTTGCTTTGTCCAGAAGTCTGGGGGTCAGGACCCTGCATGCATGGAGCCAGTAGTAAATTGGATGCCTCATCATACTGTGTGTGTAGGTCAAGGGTCCTGCTGCTGAAGAAGGCAGTGGACTCGCTCCTGCCCTTGACATTCTTCAAGAGCACGCAGCCAAGTTGTTGAAGCCAGGAATATGAACATGAATCCAAGACATACATATATAATTTATTTATTTATTTTAACAAGGTCTAGCTATGTAGTTCGGGCTGGGTTCAATCCTACCCTGATCCTCCTGCCTCAGCCTTCCAAGTGCTGGGATTACAGGTGTGTGCCACTAACTCTGGCAAGACTATGCTATTAAAGGACAAGCAGCAAGAGAGAAGTTACAAGCCAGAGCTCGGAGGAGGGAGACAGACCCGGTCAGATGCGGCCTAGAGGCTTGATGGCGGAGAGAGCTTTGAAGGATGAGTTTGGACTGCGTTTGGGTCTCTGGTTCTGTGCAGCAGGCTGCCCTTGTGTAAACTTACCTTGGTGTCTTCAGGGTTGTGCCCGTGTCTGCTCGAGCGTGAGTGCTCAGGGCTCAGTCTACAGAAGTGTGTTTACTGGACACGTCCTGTGTGCGTTCTGAGTTAGTTCCCGAGTGGCGTGCTTGACTTCGCTTCTTTCTCTCCGAGTGTCTTCGTGGCTGGATGGCTGTGTCCATGTGCCTCTGACTGCGTGTGTGTGTGTGCGCGCGCGTGTGTGTGTGTGCGCGTGAGAGAGAGATTCTTCTCTGGCCTCTGGTTTTGCCTTTCCCCTTTCCCTGACACACCCCAGCTGCCAGCTCCGTTTACCGCAAGAGTGCTTTCCCTTCCCGCCGCCTGGATTCCCATGGGGCAGGCTGCCCGCCCGGGCCCGCTCCTGTAGCCTCGGCAGCAAGTCTGACCTTGG